TAGGTACTCGAAGCCGAAATATGAAATGTCAAGCTTTCCTTCTTATTTAGATTGAACGCTGAAGTTGAAATTATTTAAGTAAAGAAGCAGAGCCTTTATATCATAACTGTGCTTCTTTTTTATCATCCGTTGGTTTGTTGAGGAGTCATGCTGTCCTCATCTGTCTGTTGAACAGTATATCCGCAATTGTTTCTAAGGAGGCCGGCAATCCGGATAGACGGCTGCTTCCATCGTAGGCGATGTGTGACTACATCCGCCGAATACTGTAGCAGCTTCATCGTCGCCGCTACCGTTATCGTCATCACCGTCATCACTGCAGTCATAATCACCAGTCATCGTCACCGTTACACCAACACCATCACGGCGTCACCAACACCATATCGTCAGTAGACGCCGCACCAAGTCTGTGATGCCGCCGCCACGACGGGGACTTCTGGCAGGGGAGACACTCGATATCCCTGTCTTTGGTGCCGGCACCCACGCCGCCAAAACTGACAGAGGCAGTGCCAGCAGGCGAGGGGACGGATCAGGGACTACCGCCTTTGAATAGGAGCACTATTGACATAACCATTAACCAATCCGAGAGGCACGCAGGTTTCGAAAAATTATCGATTGTTTCAATGGAGTAGTACGTTTCTCTGCTTGATAAGGCCGGAAGTTGCTTTTGAGCGATGTAGCAAACTGGCTATAAAACGTGGCGCAATGTATAGCAGACGGCCAAGTGGGACACGTCATTTCAGCATAAAACCCGGCTCGACCGAGCCCGACTCGCAGACCCATGTGCGCTGGTGTTCGCGTTCCGCGTACGTCCTCTCCGCTGCTCAGTGTGTGTATGTGTATAAAACAGGCGTCATCAATCTCTCTGTCTCTGTATTTATTCACACGTACGCACTTAGAGCGAGACACGTCATCGACCGAGACAGGGGCCGAGGGCTGGCGTCACAGGCCGGGTTCCCATCCGACCTGCTCGCTCATGGCTTCGTCACGGAAGCATCACAATCGCTCTGAGAAATCAGCACTACAATCGGCCAATTTCGGCGACCAGCATTTCCGATCGTTTCCGCCAACCGGGCCATAAACCTACCACTTCCGGCAGACGGTGCGTCACATAGCTTACGCAGTGCTCTTAAACTCCCATTTACTACCTCAGCTAACGGTTATTTAAACTCTGCAAACAGACACAAACACGCGCACACACAGCCGCGCACACGGCGCAGCAAACAACGCGAACGGCTCCAACATCACATAAAGCCGACATTGGATGATCGGGAACGGTGCGAGGAATAATACCAGGGTGTTGGTAACGATGACTCACGGCCGCGCACGGACTGAAATCGTGCACAGCGGTAGAACAGTGGGGAGTGGCACATAGAATCAGTGACGGTGGAATCTACAGGGCGTAGGGCCTGAAGAGGTCGCCGTGCGGCCTGACCCGCGGTCGGCACAGGTCAACGGGCGAGGTCACCGGCCGGCGGACGGCCGGGGCGGGGGCGGGGGCGGGGGCGGCCGGCAGCGGCACCGGCTGCAGCGGCGTCACCACACCGGCACACTGCAGCTGGTACATGTACGACTGCATCACGTGGCTCAGGTAGTGCATCTGGCTCTCGCTCTGCTGGCGTTTCTCCTTCATGCGCCGGTTCTGGAACCAGACCTTGACGGTGGCCTCTGCCAGTCCGAGCCGCTGGCTGAGCTGGCGGCGCTGCGGCGTGCTCAGGTACCGGTTGGCGGCGTACTCTGTCTCCAGGGCGGCCATCTGACCGGCCGAGAACACGGTGCGGGCCGGCCGGCGCGCCGCCGAGCCGCCGCCGCCGCCGCCGGCCGCCGAGCCCGAGTCGCTGCCGCTGCCCGAGTCGTCGCCGGAGAGTCGCCGGGTGGCGGCAGACGGCTCGGCTGAGTCCGAGACGGCCGGAGACGCCGGCGGGGGAGACGGCGAGCCGTTGACAGGCACCCGGGGCTCTGCAGAGGAGAGAGAGCCAGGTTAGGTCAGGTCGGGATGTGGAGGCTGTAAGAATTTCGCCCGTCAGACAGCTCTTTATACGTTACGGTGGTGTTTTTTTTAAAATAGATTTTCCCACTCATAGAAATCAGAACAGCTTACACCATCCGATCAAACGCATACGAGACCATGCACGGACTCAAGGCGCAGATCTAGCCGTCAGGCTGGTTGGCTTCACATACACAAATATTATCTCCCTACATTTTGATTTATGACGAAAGGAATATTGATTTAAGCTTCCATGCAGGTACCTACTCATGACTTATTGCCGTATCACGCACACAAATCAGCACGTCCTATCATCTGAGCGTGTTTCAATAAACACTCTGCCCACTCTCTCTGTTACTTACCGTCAGAGTTGACGCTGTCGCACATGGCCTCCATCGACTGGAGCAGCTCCTTACTGCAGAACATGGACTCTTGAAGAAGACCGCGCAGGCGACGACAGACCGTTCGCTTCGAGACTTCCACAGATAATGATCCGATGAGGGCCGCTCGGCGCCTGCCCGAGAGCTCAGCGCCAACAGCCAATCACAGCTCGGCGCAGTCACCGCCGACCAATCAGCGGGCGAGCAGAGAGGGAGGCCGCGGACCGGCGGAGACGGGAGGATTATGATTTAGTAATCGAGGTGGAACACGGGGAGGGGATTATAGAGGTCTAACGGCGGCACCGGCTTTGGTGGTTATGGCGGCAGAGCAAAGCGCAACCACCCCACGGCCCACGGCCCACGCTCTGTGCCCGTCCTAGCCAGGAGGTGTAGGTGACCGAAGCGATCGAATAAATCACTATCACCAAATTAGATAATTAAATGATACTAGGTGATAATTTTCGACCAGGAGCTCAAGCACCTTATCAAACAAGCACCTATGTCCTAAATCAACCTACATATTGCCGGAGCTCGTTTTAAACGGGAGAAGACAGAAACGAGATCGGTTACGTAGGAAAGAAAGATCGGATGCTTTGCTAGCGACCTTTCGGACGAATAAGAGTGAGACCACCTTATAATTATGTGACAGGAAAATAAGGGCGTGTCGTTAGGCCGATGTGACAACCACCGGTTGTTTCGCTGTCACATCTCAGCTAGCTCCGATAGACGGGTCACCAAACCGCGCTATATCGGTCACACCAGCCTGAAAGTTTACTCCGAAAGTCCTCCATGCAGCAGATATTTATAACCTAGCCTATTACCGATGACCATCCAATCTTGGACCTTTCAGCCAACGAGTCGGAGATCCGGGAAAGGGGTGGGTGCATCCTAAGCATTCATTTCCCTTTCCTCCTTCAGTGTTCTCTCGGCTCAGAGCTCCCGACTGCTCAGCATTAGGCTTAGAGCCCTACGGGACAGCCTACTTTCAGGCGTTTCTCCTAACGCCATCTAGCGACAAGAATGTAAGCATTGCAGCGTTTAATTCGGCGACGCTATCAAATTAAGGCAAGCAAATACGGAATAGGTACAAAAGCAACGAGGTAAATTAATTGAATTGTAATTGATATAAAAGCTGAGCACCGCCACTTTTCAATTTTCAGCGGCTCTTTAGCCCACGCGAGAGCTGATTTACAATATTTCGCAGCCTCCGGAACCGTAAAATACCTACCTACCTATGGGTGGGACGGCTCCGAGTTCCGAGCTCCTTTTCCGGCTTCGGCTCCGGTTGCGTGCTCCGGTGCCTTGGTGTCATCCAGTAGGTACGCTCTTTTTTGAAAAGATTTAGAGCTTAAGATTTAGCTCAATTATGTATAAGTGAGTCGATGAGTTGCCCTACCTATCCGGGGCCATTCCCACCTCCCCTTCCCCTCTGCCTGAACGTCTGCGAAAATCAAATCGTCCTGTGTCTGAGGAGGGTGACAGCCGACAGGCGAGAGCCAGCAGTGAGTCAGTTCATCGAAAACTTGATCAATCGGGCTGGAAGAAATCGGTAAATAAGGTCTATTCAACCGGTCCCTTACCTATCAACTAGTCGCCTCTCGCCCCAACTTTTTTCCGGAGACTCAAAGGCGGAGGGGCACGGCATGACCGCGTTATTGGCGTAATTTCTCTTCATATGAACACATCCATCATCCGACGACAGCTCCGCTAATATTCTGACGCTAACGTTTCTTCCTCCCGGTCGTCGGTTTCTCGGGTCGCTCTCGTGAGAGACACCGTTACGACGCGGCACGCTTCCCATCGGCACCGACGGAGACCGAATTAGCGTCTGTCGGCGTTGCTAGGAGACGGCGTCGAAGGCGGCGGCGCAGCGGCCATGCTGGTTGCGGCCGACCGACGCTTTTTGCACGGATTTTAGGAAGGTGAGAGCAGAGTGGGAGGGGGAGAGGGCAGACAGCCGCCTGGGGCAGAACGGACAAGCAACTGATGAGCTCCAAGGCCTGTACTAGGCTGGTCGTTCAGGTAGGTATGGGGAAATGCCACTGATAGGGAAGGAGGGAGAGCAAGACGAGGAGAGAAAGATGGGAGAGAGGATAGGGAGGGATAGGGAGAGAGAGAGAGGGAGGCGAAGAAAAAAGAAAAGTGAGGAGAACGAGATGAAAGGAGAGAGAGAGAGAGAGAGAGAGAGAGAGAGAGAGAGAGAGAGAGAGAGAGAGAGAGAGAGAGAGAGAGAGAGAGAGAGAGAGAGAGAGAGAGAGAGGAGGGGGGAAGGAGGAGAGAGAGGGGGAAGGAGGAGAAAGAGGTGGGTAACGGAGGAGTGATTCCACTTCTGTGTGTAAACGGACTCGGATGCTGGAGAAAGCGGAGCCGAAAAGTAGAAATGTATGATGGTGACCGGAGTGCATAATGGAAGCAGTTCAATGTTCAGTGTTCACCCGTAGCAGAAAAAAAAACAACAACAGAAAACAGAAAGCAAACATTGGATGACTATTATGTCTGTACGTATTCGCGTACCCGTGCGGTAGTAAGTACAAACAAGCCCCACGTAATAAGCCAAAGTAAATATTTTTGTAAAGCAGTTATCGATCCCCACCACTGCTACTTATTCAGCGTAAAGTTTCCACAGAAAGTTGGTGTGTTATCGACGATCATATATTTGAGGCGTTGGAAAGCGCTAAAAGCGTGGAAGCCTATCACTCACGCCCTGTCCCGGCAGTCGGTTCGCTGAGTTAACCCGCGCGGGGCTGGGGGGGGGGTAAATTTTACCCCCCTCGCGAATTTTTGCGATATCTCAAAAACGGCGGCGCGCAGCGCCGCCAAACTTTCAGTACCTTTTCTTACATCAATTTGACACGTTCCCTGAAAATTTGAGCGAAATCCGTCGGAAAATTTTTGAGAAATTGACGTTTTAATGACGTCATGTTCGCGATTTTCGCCTCAAAAACGGCAAAAGTTCAAACGCCGCTAACATCTTCATTTTTAAAGGAATCAAGACGTAACAAAAAAGGTTATACGTAATTTTACTTTGTCTATTAAATGGCTATCTCGGTTTTTTGAAAATTTTGGATTTTGGCCTAAATTTTTCAAAAAACTGATTTTTTTGGGAAAATCATTATAAAATCCAAAATTTTGAGTCTATCGAAAAAAACCGGAATATATGTCAGAGAAGTGGTCTATGTGCACCTACATACCAAATTTCAGAAGAATCGGTTAAAAAATGTGGGAGTTATTCAAAATTTTATGACGTCACGACACACAAATTTTTTGAAAAATGACTTTTTTGGAAGTTCTAGACCTCTTACGGAAACAAAAATAGCACCATTCGATTCGCCGTGAAAAACTGCATCAGATAGACACCTTTTAGGCCTTAACAACCAACTTCAAAATTTGACCTCACTTGACCTGACCTTGACCTGACCTCGACCTGAAATTCATCCAGAGGTGGTCCATATCACTTATTGAGTATGCCTATTGAATTCTATGAGTAAAATGACCCATAAAACATGTGTCGCACATGCCCTTTTCTATATTTTGTGTTTTGGTGACCTGACCTGACCTGACCTGACCTTGACCTTGACCTCTGAATGATATTGTATGCAACGAATATTGTCTTGGTAGCCTAAGAACACGTTTTGGGCGATCAGTCTCAGTCCATGACTCCATTCTTCGGCAACTACGGTGCAAGGCCGATACTGTAGAAACTTGCAATTTGTACCCTTGACCTGACCTTGACCTTGACCTCAAACTTTAAATTAAGTACATGTTTTTAGTAGTTCGTGATGAGAGCTTTCGATTGGCGTTTGAATTTTCCAAATCGGACCATTAGTTCGCGAGATAATAGGGGGGGTAAAATTTACCCCCCCCCCCCCAGCCCCGCGCGTTCGGCTGGAGACCCCAGCCCCGCGCGGGTTAAGTGTACCGGTCGACATTCTACACACCCGCAGTCATAAGATATCACATTACAACAAACAAAGCTCATTCAACAAGTGCGCACTGAGTAACTGAACATTACAAACTAGCCCTTCCCAGTTCCCGCATGGCACAGTTCCTGAACGAAACCCGCTCACTTCAGACCACCTGGCGCGCCCAGCAGAAACCACAAGTTCCTAGCCTCCACTGCTTGGCGGCGCACCAGTCGCTTCTTGTCGTCGACGCAGTTAGCCAGGCCGGCGAGCACCTGAGGCCGCAGCGGCAGCAGCAGGTGCGCCTTCAGGCTGGTCAGCTGGCCCAGGCAGCGGAGCGCCTCACAGCGCGTCTCCAGCTGGGGCGCCTCGCAGCCGGCCGTCAGCAGCCGCGGCGCCAGGGTCTCCGCGAACGGCTCCAGGGCGGCCGGCGAGTCGGCGGCGGCTCGGCCCAGCACCTGCAGCACAGCAGCGCTCAGCGCCGCGTCATCGGCCAGCTCTGCCAGCGCGGCCACCAGCGGCGGCAGCAGCCGCTCCAGCTGGGCGGACACCACGCTGGGAGGCAGCGCCGCCAGCTGGCCGCCCAGCGCGCGCAGGTGGCGCCGCCGCACGGCCGCCGGCGCCTCCTCGCTGCTAAACACAGCCGCCAGCTGGTCACAGGTGACCGTGAACAGCCACTGGCGGTGCAGCAGCCGCACCGTGCAGTGGTTCTCCGTCCGCAGCAGGGCGTCCTCTGCCAGCAGGTCGTCAAAGGCAGCACCGGCAGCCTCACCGGCAGCGGTATCCGACAGCCACTCGACTAGGCGCCGCACCATGTATGCCGCCTGACTGTGACCACGCAGCACCAGACCTTTGGTCAGCGCTCCCCACAGCGCTACCACAGCCGAAACCTCAGCCACATCCACACCTGCGCCGCCCTCCTCTCTGGAGTCCATCGTGAACTCGAGCTGCTTGATAAGCCGCTTCAGCAGGTGGTCCGTCTCCGCCTCTGGCTGCTTGTTAAACACCACCGCCAGCATCTTACCGGCCCGCTCTGCAGTCAGCGGGTGTCGCTTCTTCAGTGCCAGTTTTGTAAGCATCACAGAGACGATATCCTGCTGCGGCACGGCCACGCTGGGCTGGGCGGCGGCCAGCGCTGCGGCCAGCAGAGCGGTCAGCTGTGTGTGCTGCCACGGCGCCGAGTGAGAGAGCGGTAGCACGCCGTGCCAACGCTCCGCCAGCGCGCCCAGCATGTGATCACCGTCTCCGTTGAGGAACAGACTGACAGCGGCGTGTAGGAGCTCCTCCTGCCGGCGCGCGTCCAGCTGACGCACCAGGGCGGCCAGAAGTGCCCCGCCAGCCGCCACTGGTGCCGCCTGGTGGAGGGGAGCTGAGCTGGGGCAGTCCGGCGCCGGTCGCATCGGATCGTACGCCACCTCACGCGCCGCGGCGCAGAACAGCTCCAGGACCTTCTCAGGAAGTTTTATCTCGGAGAGTAGATACTCGGCCACGGCGGGGATAGTCGCTGTTCGCTGCACAATACCGGTGATCGTGACGAGTAGCCGCTCGGTAGCAGTGGCATCCTCCCGACCGACGCGCACCAGACGGACCAGTAGTAGCGGCAGTGCGGCTCGGGCGGTTTCCAGACCGGTGACTGCAGCCGCTACCGCCGCCAGCCGGCGCTCGGTCAGTTCGGGCGGCCCGTCCGAGCCGCTGGTCAGTTCAGTCAGTAGCGGCTGGATCAGGCCGGTTATCAGGGCGGTCGGGTGCCGGTCGGCGGCGGCAGACACACAGCTGAGCGCGGCCGTGCGGACTGCAGTGTCCTCGGCGGTGGCTAGAGAGGTCAGATGGCCGGCCAGGGGAGCCGCCTCCGAGTCCGCCACCAGCCACGGACAGGAGCTGAGCACGCCCAGCGCCGCCGTCTGCAGCGGCTGGTCCTGCCCGCCGAGCTCCCCCAGCAGCGCGGTAGCCAGTCGAGGGCGCAGCGCCTCCACAGCCGCCGACTCTGCGCCGCCGCCGTCCGCCAGCACACGTCCCAGCGCGGTGACCGTCTCGCGCCGCTCGGCCGCCGTGTCCCCACCGGTCTCCAGTTGGCCCAGCAGCGCCGGCACCGCCTCGCCCAGCACCAGCTCCCGGTTACCAGCGCAGAGCGCCACCAGCAGCGGCGCCACTCCGGCCAGGAGGCGGTCGCCGCCGCGCTGTGCCGCGTGGTGCAGGCACTCAGCCAGCAGTGGCCGCGTCCACTGGTCGGCCTGGACTGGCACCGCCGCCGACACGGCCGTCGCCAGCCGCAGAGCGCTCTCGTGTACCTCCGCGTGACGCGGGGTCAGACATTCCCGCGCCAGCGCCAGCCGCAGCGGTGCCAGGTGCGGCGTCAGCTGAGCGCCAGTGTAGACGCCACAGCAGCGCTGCAGTAGCGCCAATGCGTCCAACTTGGCCTGCGTCAGGTCGGAGTTGAGCTTCTCCAGCGCCAGGGGCGGGCAGAACTCGGCAAACTGCCCGGTGCCGGCCATACAGTCGTGCAGCGCGTCGGCCAGCATCTGTCGGGTCACACCGTGAGCGCTGTCCGGCGGAGGGGTGAACTCGACCGGGAAATAGCAGGCCAGCAGCTCGAACAGATCCTCGGCGAGCGGCGCCAGCGGCACGGCCAACACCAGCAGTCGCACCGTGGCGAACACGGTCAGCAGGTTCCGCGGGTCCTTCTCCCCCTCCATCGACTGGATACAGCCGAGAACAAAGTCCGAGCCCAGCTCGCGCACATCCTCCGCCCGCGCCTCCAGCACGTGCCGCAGCGCGGCGAACACGTTACGTCGCTCAGCCAGCACGAGGCTCTGCGCGTGCACCTCCTTGTACAGGCTCTGCACTAGCCGGCGCAGCGGCTCACCCGCCAGGTGCTTCATACACACCACCACATTGACGCCAGCCAGCGCCGCCGGCACTACGGAAAAGTGGTCGCGCACGCGGTCACAGAAGAACGTGGCGATGAACGCGCACTCCTGCTCGTTTAGCAGGTCGGCAGGCAGAAGGCGCAGCACGTCAGTCAGGTGCTGCACGCCGCGCGCTCGGCTCGGCGCCTCCGGACTGACCAGCAGTGACTCCAGGCACTCCACCACCCCCAGCACGGTGTGCTGGCCAGCGGTGATGGCACGGGCTGCCGCTGCTGGACCTCCATCTGATTCCAGGAGAGCCAGCAGGACTGATTTGGCCGACTCGGCAGAGTCTGAGGTTTTCTCTCCAGCCCCTAAGCCTGGGGCTGGCGCTGGGTCTCCCATATCCATGTGAATCAGATGCTGACAGCCTGGGAAACATGGAAGGAGAAGTTACTGTACCATGGGAAGGAAACAGTATCTCATGCTGAAATGACACAGATACAGATGCTGTGCAGCATCCGTATCTTTTCTTTAAAACAGTGCTGTGGGGTCATATTTGACAACAAATATTGAAAATAGGACAATGAGCAACAAGAACAATAACATCTACAGCTTCATTCTGGTATGCCCATAAATCTGAAATGGATCTTTTTTGTGCCAGGCCAAGTGAACAGGCACCCTTCAAGCAATATGGAAGACAAAGTATTCTTGCACAAATTGACAAGCCTCTTTGATAGCAATAATTTTGCTTAATCATGATGCCAAGAGGCACAAGTCCTATGTTCAGTTACACTTACAGAGTCATTGCAAGTTATATCCTTTCAATATGAATGCAGGTTGCAGCATAAATGTACCAGCAATTATGAGATGCTGCCACAAAGTCATGTGGCTTATCTTATTATTGTATTCATAGATCTCATTTAGGTGCAAATGCCATTGCCTGCCCTTTTTCAATCCCATAAAAATGTAGAATGTCAGCCATCCATCCAAAGATATGGCCTAATGAAGTTGATTGACTTGCATTTGAGGTGTTTGCTTGATACAATATACATTTACATGCAGACTGTAATGCAGACCAGGTGATTAACAACTAATAAAGCAGACTGCATAAAGGTAAAAAAGAGATGGATGATAACAATCACAATATAGAAGGATTAAGAAAATGAAATTAAGGAATACTGTAGAAAAATCACACCCCTCCTCATCCAGTTTCATGTCCTTTAAACTGTGATAAGAATGAGTAAATAATTAGGCAAATGCTTTCTTCTTTCACTTTGGATTTTGCTTATGTCTTATGGCAGAGGGGTAGAGGTACCCCCAATACAGATGACACTATTTCAAGTGCAGGGAAAACATATTGGTACTCTAGGGGAAAAATTTGTCTACTTTTAAATTTCAATTAGACAATACTGACATGATTTCTCATGCCAGTATTGTCTGTATCAATACTGTACCTACCTACCATCAGTGTTCTAGACTTGGATGTTGGTTAGGTGTGACATGAAGAAAAGAAGTCCTAGAATGACAAAATTAAAAGCAAGTATGCCTAAATTATTTTCGAAATTCTGATGGGCGATGGCTATGCATATTTTTACCGGACTGAAGTTTTAACCGAAAAAGATTATGCAAGTAAGAAATAACCTTAATCTAGAGCAGACAGAATCATTGTCAAAATGTTCAAATACATGGTAGGTTGAGGTACATTTTCAAAGATGAAATAATTTGCCGCATTTTCTAACATTCTGGATGAAAACATTTTCCCATTAGATGATGATGTGTGATTCACACATAATTGTAATGTGTAGGTAATTCACAGTGTGAATTAGTTACCGGTTACCACCGAAAGTTCTGAAAGGAAATGGGACAGTGCCTACACGGTATACCGTGTAGTCGTACCATATCAAGTACTTACCACTATACAAAGGCGAAAATCCTAGATAAATCTGGGACAGCCTTGCTGTTAACCTGTAACGGAATACCTCAGTCCGGAAGGCGATCTAGCCCAAGCAAACCTCACTTTCACAGGTTATTTTGTTGCAGAAACGACAGAAAAAAACGCGAAACATCATAACACATAACACGCTGTATTTAGGGCCTTGTAACACGCATTATGCGCATAATCCAACAAAATTCCATAAAACATTGCGTCGTAACTTGTAACAAGTGCGCAATATAAAATGAGGATCAACTTCCTCCTAAATAAAAAATAAAGAAATTGAAACAAGAGAAAGTTGCAAAAATGTCAAGGACAAACATATATAAATAAACTGAATAGTTTGAAACTTAAATGAAAAGAAACAAAAATAAAAAATAAAAATTAGGCATCTATGATATGTCTATGATGCTTGCATCGATGTTACACAAGCGAAGGGAATTTATCAACTTCTCATTTTCCCTCCACACGTGTATATTACTAAGATTTGGCAGCGCTAGTACGATACATTCATTGCTATATTGTTACGTTTGTCTGTTTACGTTGCCGTGACGGCTGTGACGGCCGTGACTGAACTCGTTGCCGGCATTATGAACGATGGTGTCTGTTTGGTAGGGTAGATTAGTAGCGTTTTCGTTGTGATTTTAGCTGAAACGGTTGTCTTGCTTTAAAAATTTGCGAGAAGTAATTCACAGATAATAAACTTCTATACTTAATACATTTTTGCATCCCGAAGATATAAGACCACAAAACGCAAAAATGGATTTTCTGGGACTGGGTTTTGGCGATGTGAAGAGGATGAATAAGCGTCAGGTGAGACACATTTAATATTTATTATTGACAATCAATTGTATCAATTAATTCAATTCATAATCTGATAAACTCCTGTCTTACTCTGTTATGTTGACTGCTGCTTTTTTCATTTTTTTTTGTGTTCACATCCATATGGAAGATATGAATAAGTACAGCCCTCTGCAAACTGTGTGGTAGGTATTCTCTTTCTGACAAAACTGAGAATAACAGTGAATATTATGCTATCAGTCACTCGAAAATCGTAACAGCAAGATGTGCGAGACACCACACGTTAGATTGGCATTATCATCGTATTCATTTTCCATCCAGTTTGGCAACAAAACCCAAAAGTTTATATTTGCCCCCAAAACAAAATTTTGCTTTTTGTTGCCACACAAGCCTTATACTTTATTTAGTGATATAGACCCAAGCGAAGGAGTGGAGCAGGGCGCATCTATTTGAAGTGAGTTCAGACCGACTGTTGACATAGCCTTTGAGTAATTACCGGTTTTGTTGAAACAGAATACCTACCAAGCAGTCTGCTGAGGGCTGTACCTACCTAGCTATCAAAATTATCACAGTTCAGTGATTTTGCGCACTTTTGATATATTTTTAGGTCAAAAGCTTCAGAATATTTTCTCCAATTTCTCACCTGGCTTTGTTTTCTTATTAACCGTGCTGCTGCGTTGTGGCTTGTGGACAGTAAATATGAGAATGGTTCTCTGTTTGGTGTCACTCTTTTCACATTTTTGTAGTAAAATTGAATTACCACAAACTGTACTGGCAAGAGCAATGCATAGTTTTAGTAGTGTCTCCATTTTCCAATACTAGCAATGATCAGATTTTGTCCATATGCATTGATTTATTTACTTTTGCACCTATGGTTTGAAGTGATGCTCAAGCTGTGTTTTTTTTTTTTGTTCTATGTTCACAGCTCTACTACCAGGTTCTGAACTTTGGTATGATAGTCAGCTCCGCACTGATGATCTGGAAGGGCTTGATGGTTGTCACTGGCAGTGAGAGCCCCATTGTGGTGGTACTAAGGTGAGTGAAGTTAAGCAGTAAGTGCTCAATGATCATGCTCATGCAATGCTTGGAGAGTTGAATGTATGGTGTGCCTGTTAGGTTTGTCTCATTCCTCTGGGGTCATATGATCTCTGGTTTTTATGGATTTCCCTTATCCTTAGTTTTTACTGTGACACCTGACATCCTGAGTATGTGTTCTGTCCTTTGCTGATTGGCTCACATCAATTATAGTAAGTTCATTTTGACCAACTCATCAGATGACTTTCTGTCTAAATGTTTTGTTTTAAAGTAAGGTACCTAATATGTTTTTCACTCAATCACAGAGTACTTATGTAAACTATAAGTCTGGATCCACATTTTGTCTGGATGCTGATCTGGTGACCTGTCTACTGCTTATGTGTGATTGCAGTGGAAGCATGGAGCCTGCCTTTTACCGCGGGGACCTGCTGTTCCTCACTAACTACCAGGAGGAGCCGATCCGCGCCGGAGAGATCGTCGTCTTCAAGGTGGAGGGCCGCGACATTCCCATCGTCCATAGAGTCCTCAAATTACATGAAAGGTGAGCTAGTATAGCGGTGAGTGGTATGTCCCGTAGCTCAGTTAGTAGAGCGCTGGGCTCCCGATAGGTAGTGAGAGCCTGGGCTCGAGTCGCTCCGGCGCTCGAATATGAAGCTTATAATATGAAACCTCTGACGGGGATGGTGTGCGAGAGTGGGAGCGGCCGCAGCCAGTTGAAATCTGCCGATTGAGACGGGCGGTGTACGACTTTGATGGATACACCAAACCTGGCCTCACAAGAATATATCCCAATACTCGGACTTGCCTGATGGGACTCACAACCCACATTATGGTTTATATTGCAGTGCAAAGTTTCAGTATGTCTCAGGCTGTTGATCTTTGAACTACCTGACAATTTCAACAGCTGACCACCCGGAGAACCGCTCAGCTTACGGGCCGAAGAACCTTGTCACTCACCATTCACAGAACCACTCTTTTGACGCACCCTCCCCCCCCCCGTGTCTGCCTGTAGAGAGAACGGCACTGTCAAATTCCTCACTAAGGGCGACAACAACAGTGTGGACGACCGCGGCCTGTATGCGCCCGGTCAGCTGTGGCTCACCAAACGGGACGTGGTGGGCCGAGCGCGCGGCTTCGTCCCCTACATCGGCGTCGTCACTATCCTCATGAACGACTATCCAAAGCTAAAGGTGAGTGATGTTGAGGATGAGCTGATGGTTGGAGAATTGGGGTTAGAAATATTGAGGGGCAGGGAGGTGGAAGATTTACTTTGAATCGAGGCGGTCTTTTATATGCGGTATGCCCTGCTTGGTACCGCGATCGCGGTGCTTATTTTTCGTAGATGGCGCCACAAGTAAATGTCTGGCACCCGGTACGCTGTTCAGCATATCTTGACCGCGAGTGTAAAAAGGATCGGCTCCAGTGACTCTTCCACAATGCTAGCTACCGTTTTCAAAGTTCTGTTCGGTTCAGTGTCTGTGAGGACAGAAGAGAGTTGTTTCGCACTTTCCGCAAATCGTCTCTGAATTCTCCCGGCACACCCCGAATCAGATTGGGTATTTCTAAAGAAAATCAGATCGTCCCAATTTTTGTTTCCCCGGTAGGAAAGAACAAAGTCGCCTCACATCGGTAGCAGAGGAGTGATATAATTAAAGTAAGTCGACCAAACTTTGCTAGGGGATTGTTTTGTGCTGCATCACCTACGACGCGCTCGATGTTTTGTATGCTGATTGCTGATAAACATACAGAATTGTTTTTGCGACAGAACACTAAACTCCTTACCCTCTGAACCCTTCGTCGCCGCCCTCTCGTCTTACTCCCGGACCTCGCCCTGCTGACCTTTCCCCTTTGTCCATTTCAGTACGCCGTGCTCGCCTGTCTCGGTCTATTTGTGCTCATCCATCGAGAGTGAGCGACGCCCGCCGGACGGGAGGTGACGTCACACTGCCCGGCTATGACGTCACGGTGACGTCAGCCGAGGCGGCGCGGTGCTGGGGTCGGGTGGGGACTGCGGTGAACAGCGATCCCAGAACAGTTCTTTGATGGTGGCACCAGTGCGCGCTCGCCACGTACATTTTTCGAGAGAGATGACTATTCTCTCCGGTTGTGCATTTAGAATGTTGCGGGCTCTCAGACTCTGGTGCGCGGTTTTGCGGGGTGCACGCGTCTCTTTGGCCTGTATTTGTGTTAACCCAGAAAGACACAAGATGTGTGGACTTGATCCTGTATTTTCGTCTACCACTGAGCCGATAGGCCGCTGACAGCTCGTTGTAGCTGCGCCTTTGAAGGTCACAGCGCCGACAGCGGTTTTCTTCGCGACCTCAGTGACTGCGGACCCGACTGGCCGGAGACAACACCTGCGTAGCTTTCCGACACAGGTGCAGCGTGACACGCGACACGCGCAGTAGCGCCTTACAACACCAACCCATTTGTACAAACCGATCGACAGGCCTGCGTTATAGCTGCCGGCGTACATAACAAACACAGCGCTGCATTGGCGCGATTCTACGCTAATGTGGCACTAGGCTCGAGCGATAGACAATTCGCAAACAATACCCTGCGGCAGAAAGGCGAGCTAGAATTGAGGGACAGTGGCACAGTTTCCGAGTCGCTTGATGCGTTAGACTAAACTCACGACGATTGGCCGGCACTAGGAGGCATTGACGAGCTAACGACGAGTAGCGCACGCAGACTGTATGTACAAATGGAGTAGAAAAATAATGATATGAAGCGATAGCGATCATGAAAGGCGTGGCCGTAACAGCTGAAATTTAAAGAGAACGACGCTTGTGGAGACGCGATCGTTACAGTGATGTTCTAAGGATAGCGACATGCAGTATGGGACAAGGACACGCGTGCGGGTAACAGTTGGAATTTTACGATAAAGATACGGTATCAGAAAATGCCAGACACCAGCTGCGTTCATCCCCAGGAACACTGCGCGACAACCAGACAACACGCATACAATCTTAGAAAGCGATAACCGCAAAAGGCTTCCGCGATATATCCTCAGACTAGACGCAAAGTTAACCTGCATAATACACTCTTCAACGCTCGTAATATATCAAAATTGACTTCCCTGCGGCTTATCCTAGCCACAGGGCGGACAACAGGCACCCGGCGGTGCGTAGCCGCAAGCCACCCCTCTGCAGGCCGGATGAACAATCCTCTCTGTTCCGCCGAACGCGCCGCACTATCACAGCGAGCCATGGGCTCCGGAAGCCGGCGTCGGATCTCTGCACGGAGAGCCACCCGTAGACCGTCCGCTACTCACAGGCCCGTACCGCAGGCAGTCTGCGGATCTAGAGCCACAGACCCGCGCCACGGAGCCGTCGGCGCTGCCCACGGACGGAGACCGCGGCTCAGGCGGGGACGTTTGTGCACTGGGCGGTCCAGCCTCAAATGGTTAGATGCATCCGCTCCGAATCGTTACCCCAGCTGGCGGCAGACAGTGTACGATTCGTCACAATTCACGCACTAAACATAGTGACGGCTGCGAACGTTAGTAATGGGAGTGATTGCCATTAGCGGGAAGACTAGAGAGACAATATCCACGGGCGTTGTAGTTAGTGATTGCGAATGGGGGATAGCTAAGATTATTGAGCAAGCGATCGTCTAATAAAAGGAAAGTATCTACAAAATATCATTTGGGATCGACACTGCATCGAAAAGCACGGCCATTGTTCCATGCTCAGCACTTATATAACCACACCATTTATACATTGATAGCTTTACGGCCGTAACGAACACTCAACTAAATGCGAGTCTCAAAATATCTCAAGACGAGTGTCAGGAGTTCACCGATGAGGTCCGGGTGCGATGCCACTGCGGTCTCCGGGGACTGGTTATGTTCTCTGAACAGGGTCGGTGTGGTCCGGTTATCGGTAGCCGTTCGGTTAACATAGACGTCGGGCCAGCAGAGTGGGTCGTGGCCGCGCAGCTGGTTATACTCCGGTCGGACAGAAGATCGGAAATAGCCACCGTGGTCGGAAAGCAAGGCTGGGGGGAGTTGGAGGACAGAGAGGAGATGCGGCACCGGAGCTTTGGATACAGCGAGAGTTACCAATCTGTTTCTCCGCGCACTACATGGCTGTTCGAACCCCAGCAGCGTCATTCTCAAGCCACTGGATCGGGAGAACACAGTTAACCGTCTACATAAGAGCCACGCAGTCATTTACGAATATCATCATGACTTGCCAAAACCGCCCGAGTTTCTCTCGTTGAGTCTCGTCTCTATTCTCCAAGCAGATCCGTTGGATATCCAATCTCTCCTGCTCACACATCGGTAGATGGGCACTCACGGCCTCACCACTACCTACGGGACGGAGTCGCCATCACGGGGCGCCGCGTACCCAGTCCATCAGCCTGGGAATACCGGACTGCCGCGGTCACCGGCGGTCGACCTTGGCTCGCCACCCTCCCCCTCCAGGTCCGCACGGCGGCGGCACTTTCCTCGTGTGAGCGCGGTGACACGCGCCCCGCGAGTCCCTGATCACTGCCCCACGGCCCGCTACCGACACCGAGTAAACGGAAAACGAAACACAACGAAACCTATACAAATGTTTATTTGAAAATAACCAAACGTATAAACAGAAATAAACGAGGTTCTTAATTCCAAATAAGATTAACTGGTAGGCTCCACCACCCTACTAAGATCCCCTTACCACCCATATTCGTCTCCGAAAGACAATGCTGTCAGCTACCAATATTGGAGCTACCTA